AAAAAAAAAAAAAATTAAAAGCATTATATTTATAAAGATAACCCTGAATCAATTTTCTTAACTCAATCAAATTAATATAGAGTCAATATAAAATATACTACTATATAATATATAAATTCTGTAAATAACCCATGCATTATTAAATATATCTTTAAAACTAATTTAAATGTATACTAAATCAATATTTCCACTTCCTTCATAATGTTGATTTGGAGTACCCAGAATTTTTGAAGAATCAAAACTGGAATTTCAATAAGCACTGACCTGGCAATTCTGATAATTCTCAGGTCAGAGTAGTTAAAAATTCAGTGGATGAAAGAGCCTTTTTTTCTACATTTCAGGATGCATCACATTAACTGATGATCATAACAACCTGGAACAAAACTATTAGCATTGCAACTGCATATACAAAACATGAAACGCAACTTGTGCTTTTTCAATTATTAAAATTAATGAGCTCTTAATATTAATTTAAAAGTATTATTTATAGTAGTAATGTAATCATAGCATCATTAAACAAGTAATGAAGTATGTAAACAGAAAACTTTAACACATGTAATCTAAATTTTAAAAAGTAGCAATATAATAAAATGTAAAACAATTTTTTATACCATTTGAAGATATTTATACAAAGAAAATTGGTAACTTATTAATGGTAACTTTAAATTTAGGGTGTAATATATTAATTTAACCTTCAAAAGAGAAAAAAAAAACAAACTGATTTCTTCCCAACCGTGTATTATTAACTTATTAGTCATTCATATTTCCTTTCAAATAATATTCAATATACACAATTCAAATATGCATATTTTCATACTATTATAAGTAACTATATCCAATATAATAATTAGAAGCACAAAAAATTGCTCTACCCCACATAGATATAATGCAATGAAAAAGATAAATTATTATGTAAGAGATTAAAATATCTACAAATATGTCGGAGGTACAACATACCAATTTTAGATTTATGCAGAGAGGCAGCAACAATAAATGAAGTGAAATTGTCACACTAACAATTATTTAGGCAAGACACATATACTTACTCAACACAAATCTTTGATAGCATATATTCCAGTAGGTATTTCTATTCCGACAAATTATGGTCATAACAAGCAATTTCATCGCTCCCATTTAAGACATGCTGAAGGAGCTTTTAAAGGATACATCTGATTAGTTGATGAAAAGAAAGTCTCAACTGCAACAAATCTAGATATGCAAAACACGAAGACGCACAAATTACAATTTGTGATACAAAATTGTATCACAAATTGTAATTGAATAGTTGAGAAGAAGCACAAGTAAGTAGCAATTTTGCTACTTACTTGTGCTTCTTCTCAACTATTCAAATTCTATAAATACTAGTCTCTCCATATTATTCTGAACTATAATATTAGTTTTAAAAATGTCATTTATAGAAATGCTTAATAAGCAGAATCTTACAAATAATAAAAAACGTAAACACAAAATCTAAAACTTTAATGTATGTAAAATTTAATAAAGGCAATAAGACATAGTAAAAGTACATTGAAATTCTTCATATTTCTTGCAATTAATTGTTTTACTCACTACGAATGAAAAAAAAAATAATTTGCACTTTTAACCACAAAAAATGCTTAAAAAACAACAAACAAAACAATGATCCGACAATAATGAAACAAAATTTGACGAGATACCATATTAATAATTATGTAAGATATTAAAATACATATAAATTATAGTATATACATATATTTTTAATATAATTTTCTACGGATCAAAACTGGAATTTCAACAAGCATTGACCTGGAAATCGTAATAATTCTCAGGTCAGCATGGTTGAAAATTCAGTCGATGAAGGAGCCTTCTCTGTACATTTAAGGATGCATCACAATAACTGATGATCATAACAACCTGGAAGAAAACTAAAAGCATTGCACAAATTGTGATACAACAGAACTTTATTAATTTAAAAATATCATTTATAGTAGTAATGTTATTCTTGCATCATCAAACAAATAATGAAGTATGTAAGCATAAAAACTTTACCACATGTAATCTAAATTTCAACAACTAGCAATATAATAAAATCTACATTTTAAATTACCAAGTCCATGATTAATTCCAAGAATTTTTCAAAACTTTACAAAACACAACAGCAAATTTAAAAAAGCATTATAATAACATTAATTGAAATGATTGGTATAGTCAAAACTGTTGTAATCTGCATCCTCAGTTGATTTTTAATTTAAAAAACAGAATAAATAAAGAGTTGAAGCAATAAAATAGCAGAAAAATACAAAAGCAATTAATTTCTTTTTTGCAAAATTGTATTCTAAAAATACTTTTCTTGCTCATTGATAAGGAAAGAAATAGTACTTGATTTTTCAGTTCTAATTTCAGAATAAAAAAATTGCCAATGACTGGCTTGCTTCAACTTGCTAAATCAAGGAAAGTTAAAAACTTCTTATTGGTAACTTAAAGTTTAGGGTGTAACATACTATTAATTTAACCTTTTATTCAAAAGAGAAAAAATGGGGCTTCTTTTCAACTTTGTATTGTTAAAGTATAACTTATTAGTCATTCATATTTCCTTTCAAATAATAAATAATATTCAAGAAAATTCAATTCACTCACTAATTCCAATATACTTCCATTCCATTTTAACCAATATAATAAATAAGAGCACAAAAAATTGCTTGAATAAAAAAAAAACTCTACCAACTCCACATAAATATAATTTAATGAGAAAGATACCTAATTAATTACAATGCAAGAGATTAAAATATGTACAAATAAAAAATATGTAGGAGGTACATATCTGTCAACAACTTTATTGAGTTGATCTGACAAAAGATCTAGATCTATGAGGATAAGCAACAGCATAACATACTAATTACAGAGTTATGCAGTGAGGTAGCAACAACAAATGACTAGTTAGTGAAATAGTTACACTAAGGAGTATTTTGCCAAGCAATGTGACACTTATACTTACCCAGCATCAGCACAAATCTTTAATAAGAGATATTCTTGTAGGTGTTTCTTTTCCTACAAATTATGGTCATAACGTGCAATTTCATCGCTTCAACGTAAGACATAAAGATACACTGGGCTGGTGAACGAGATTTTAAAGGATAGGAATTTACCTATCTTATTAGTTCATGAAAAGATATCCTTAACAATTTTGCTTACATTATTGAGCTATAAAAAACGTATTCGCCATTTTCACCACGCTCAAAAAAAAAATCGGGCATCCAAGCTCTTGGCGATAGAATTAGTTTGGCAATCACCCATTTCAGCTGATCGCCAAAGTCTAGGGTTCAGTGTTGCCAGATTGGGCTACAAGTAGCGTATTGGGCTACTTTTAAAAGTCCCCGCTACTGAAAATTGAATTTTCGCTACTTGCTACTTTTTGGGCTACTTATTATTTTTCGAACGCTACAAATCTTAAATATGCGCTACTTTTTTTCCTTTCTAAAATATATATATACTTTTTAATTTTTTCGACCTCACAGCCAACTGCTTGGTTGGCGCGTGCACTGCCTACCAAGGAGACTAGTTGTAGAAATGTGGTAGGCAATAATTTTTTTTACAAAATAAGAGATTAACAGCAGAACAACAATTTTGCGCTTTGTATAAACAACTGAAGTTAATCTTTGCCAGGTCCTGTGAGTGTGCCATTTACATAGCAAATGTGAAATTGCATTGAATGAAATAGCTGTAACTTTATCATTAGTCATTATACAATTACTATGTCTGCAATTTTAGATTCAAGAGAAAGAAATAATGGTTTCTACATCTAAACTGCTAGTAATAAACTGTGCTACTGGATAATTATGCCCTAACTATGCAACTGTAGTTTATCTGAAAACATGATAAATATTTGTGTTATGAATTATGCTAATACTACTAAATCAGCAAGTAAAATTTAAATAGAATCAAATATTAAAAAACAAACCTCATATTTCTTTTAGACTGTCTCTTATACCACACAACTTGCAAACTTAATTCTGGTTTTTCCGATCAGACAGTAACAGACTGATGGCTGAAATAAAAAATTTTAAAAAAAATAACATAAACAACTAACTTTCTGATACAAGAACTATGTTAACCTTAAAGGAGAAAATACAAATCTTTAAAAAATAACCACAGTATCAAACCAATATTAACAAAAATATGGTTTAATAATAAAAGTTTATAAACTTTTCATTGCTTTTATTTCTGTTCTCTTCTTTAGCCCATATTTCATTTAGGGAGAAAAAAGAGACCTTACATTACTTTGAAAGTTTTATAAGTAAAAATCAACCATGTTGAATGCGTATGCATGATAATTCATTTATTAAGAGGTAAGATTTAAATACTTTTAAAATCTTTCACCATTTTTAGAGATTGAATGCTAAAATAATAAATTTCTAAAATTGATAAAGCAAATAGAATAAATAATTTTTAAAATAATTAATATAAAAAATATATTAATAAATTTATTGTTTAATAATAATAGAGGAAGATAATAACCAGCAAAACATTGACTTTTTCTTAACCTACATTTGATTAAAGTCAAATACTGATAAACATTAAAAGATATTTATTTTGACTTTTATTATTTTATTAAAATTTTAATTTGCAAACAGAATACTACAACAATATAGTTGAAGAAAAAAAACTAAAACACTTAAGATAAAATGCCACAGTTAATATACAATTAGTCGAATAATCAAAATAAAAAACATTATACTAGTAGCAATAGTACAAACTACTGATACTAACTGAAATACTCGTATTGGCTCCTCTTGAATCTGTCTGTCATTTAAGCTAAAAAAAGAATAAAATTAGATGAATCTCTGTGCAATAGACAAATTTTTATTACAGTAATCTCTCTCTCCTTAGTTTTGTATAATGTTACTTTGAAACAGTTCATTATTCATTAAGTATATACCAAATATATTTAAAGTGAAAGAGTATTTATAATTCAGGGGCAATGTTCTTAGCGATCTTCCCTCTGTCCCTCAGGGGCAGAACCACAACCGTTGTGAGAATTAGTACTTAAATTAACATTCAACATTCTATTGCCTCTAAACATTTTTCTCCATTGTGTAAAGTAGTAGAAAGAAGAATATCAGGGAAAAAAACACTTTCTACTGAATATTTTTCCTTACAGCATCAAAGTGCTAAGTCTGATGCAGTTCTTTGACTACTCTCTCTTATTTGAATGGGCTGAGTTGTGGTGATCAGGCTTAAATGTCAAGACAAGAGTACAATGTTTTCATGAATCTAGTTAACATATATATAGGAGAGAGGGGGGCACCTTTCAACAGTTTTTGCTTAAGAATTATTTTCGAAGTTTTATTGCTTTCAAAATCTAAGTTCTAATTTTTATTTACTAATTTGATATTTGAGGTAACCTCTCAATTTTTTCCAAAGGTCTAAACCAAAGGCAAAATACCTAATTTTACATATTTAGTGAACCATGTATTTTGTTGAAATCTACCCCTCCTGGGGGGCAGTTTTCAACAGGTGGTGGGGCACATTTCAACAACTGAAGAGAACGTAACAAGATCATACAGTTTGGAACGTTCTGACAATTCAGCCACACTTATATTATAAATCTTTAATTAATAAGAATTACCTGTAAATAAAATTTTCATGATGACAAAATATAAAATCCAGCTCAATCAAATCTAGAAAATGGCTCTGAAAAATAATTTTGTTTATGATATGACAGGAAACTATAGATGCAAAATAACTGATTTCAGTAGTGAGATAGTTGTAATATATGGGTAGCAAGTAAAAATATCAAAGCCATTTTGAATTAATTGAGCAAATGGTGCAGCTCTTTGCATTCGAAAGAACATTGTAGATAATATAGTAAATTTACTATTAAAAATATGAATTACCTAGCGAATTCGTTTCATTGCTTAATCATTCCGAGTACGTCCAGCTCAAACATTTTCGCCATTTTCAATCACGTTCAAAAAGCGGGCATCCAAGCAGTTGGCGATAGATTTCGTTTGGCAATCACCCATTTCAGCTGATCGCCAAAGTTTAGGGTTATAAAAGGGCGGGCATCCAAGACAGTGCGCTCAGATTTACCTTCGTAGGGAGACTGTTGCATGGCTGACCGATTTTTTAATAAATTGAGACATTTGATTGGTCAATTGCACCATTGTTTTCATCTTTATCGCTTAATCGTTTAGTTAGGCTTACTAGAATGGCATTTTTAGCATTTTTGATTGGCGTAATTTTACTGATGCGCATGCTTGGTTTGATAATTTATTCAAACCAATCTAAACACTTCGTAGACAATGAATATAGAAACTTGTATACCCTCCTTTGCTTGTGTATACTGACAAAGACATAAAGATAGAAAGATCAATCACTATACCAAACGGATGTCAGGGTGAACTTTGACATCACTGGTCTGAACTGAATTTTCTTTATTTGATTTTTATAAATTGTTATGATAAATAATAACATTCAGTCTCTGTGCCAGAAAATTCTGAACACATTTTTTTAAAATTCTTTAAGGATTTCTAATTTGTAAATTTTTTAATTTAAAATCAAAAAAAATAATATATTCTTAAAAATTTATTTTTATATTGCTCTGAAATTCAAATACTTGAAATAAAAAAAATAAAAACTATTTAAGAGCTTATTAAAAAATATGAAAATAACTAAAAAAAATAAAGTAATTAAAATAAAATAAAGGACAGTTTTATGAGCAATCTAAGCTGCCCAAAACATTTAATTTAATGAAGAACAAAAAATTGGAAAATGTTAATAATTGCTGAGATAGAGTCTCATAATTGTCTGCTAGCGTTCAATTAGTTTGTTATTAAATCTTTTTCGTGGTTTTCATTTGTGCGTAATGTAAATTCTAATTATTTTCGTTTAAAAAATCTTTCAAAATTCATTCCTGTATTTAAATTACAAGTAACTTTGATATCTTGGTTGCGGACAAGAATACAAAAAAGCACAAAAAATTTTTTAGAGCATTTCACAACATTCACTTAGAAGGCTATATATCAGCGATGATAAAAAAAAAGTGATTGATTATTAAAAATGATTTCATTGCTATAATGAACATTTCGATGGAATCCTATTACCATCAAGAAATCTGGCAAACGTTTTCGTGGTTTTCCTTAGCTTGTATCGCAGCAATGCTACTACAATAGCTTTTGTAAGTATGCTTTTATTCTGATACTTGAATTGCAAGTTGCTTTGATTCCTGGGTTGTGTAAAAGAAATATTAATGTAAAAAGAGTGTTTCACAATATTCAGTAAGATGACAGATTGTTTTTCAAGGACGATGAAAAAATTTTTTGATTATAAAAAATAATTTCATTGCGATAATCAACATTCAGCTGGAAACCTATAACCATTCAACAATTTAAAAGACTTTTTCGTGGTTTTCCTTTGCATGTAACGCAAATTTGATTACTTTTATTTAATTTTCATTAAAATAAACTCTTCTTATAACTTTCATGAACATAATTGTATTCCGATACTTAAATTCTTAATTACTTTGATTTCTGAATTAAACTAAAGATAATAATGGCGTTTCGTTACATTCGCTAGAAACGTTATAAACATTCGTTATGAACATTTAGCTAGAATCCTATTACAGATCAAAGCGACTAAAAAAAAGCTATAATGAACATTTCGATGGAATCCTATTACCATCAAGAAATCTGGCAAACATTTTCGTGGTTTTCCTTAGCGTGCAAAGCAAAATTTGATAATTTTAATTAAAATTGGTTATTTTTGTAGCAATTATTACTTCGGTGCTTAAAATCCGACTTACTTTGATTTCTGGGTTGAGTAAATAAGAAGAGCTTTTCGTTCTGTTCAGGAAGATGATACCCTATCTATTAAGGATAATAATAATGAAAAAATGGCTGTTTAAAAAAAATATTTTCATTGAGATGATGATGAACATTTAGCTTGAATCCTATTATCACCAAGCAATTAAAAAAAAAACATTTTCGTGGTTTTCCTTTGCGTGTAACGCAATATGTGATTATTTTGATTTATTCTTAATTAAAATAAACTAATCTTTTAACTTTCATAAATATAATTTTACTCCGATGCTTGTTTTATTTATTTTATTATTTTGTTTTATATACCAATAAAAGCAATCTGAAAAAATTTTTTTGTTTGTTTTTCTTAGCGTGTAACGCAAAGTTTGATAATTTTAATTTCAATTTAGGCTAGATTATAATTAATTATTTTTATAACTTTCATAAATATGGTTTTATTCCGATACGTAAATAGCGAGTTACTTTGATTTTCGGGTAGAGTTAAAAACTACAAAAATATGAAGAACATCTCGTTATACTCTGAAATTTTTGAGATACGCGCAGACAAGAATTTACAAAATGAAAATAACGGTTTAATTTTAAAATACAAAGTGTATTTTAACACGACAGACGATTTTTTACTGACTTACTTCAACTTGTTTAGCGTAGAATAAATTTTAAACAGAGGAGAAAATGGAGTTGACGCGAGAACATTTTCGCGCTATGATTTTCTACGATTTTTGTCAAAAACAGAGTACAATTTTCCTTGCCAGAGGACAAACTAGATGGCGCCACGAGATCTAGAACTCTTACTAATTAACAATTTTGGCAGACGAGTATGTTTATGTTACTGGCGATCGAGAGATCTTGTTGTTGTTGTTAATTTATGTCGTACTAGAGCTGCACAATGGGCTATTGGTGACGGTCTGGGAAACATCCCGGAGGATGATCCGAAGACATGCCATCACAATTTTGATCCTCTGCGGAGGGGATGGCACCCCCGCTTCGGTAGCCCGACGACCTGCGCGCGAAGTCGAGCACTTTACGGTAGCACAGTTTAACGAGGACCAATACCGCACACCCTCGGTCCTTACGCAGGCTGATCCAAGTGGTCACCCACCCGCAAACTGACCGCAGTCAGTGATGCTTGACTTCGGTGATCTGCTGAGAACCGTGTCTTAACGATCAGTCCACTGCGGGACTAGAGAGAGATCTTGTTGTATTTGTAGTATTGTTTCTGTAGTGCTGTTAATATACACTTGTTATCAAATTGGAAAGAGTAATTCTTCTTTTTTAGTTTGTGATCATTTTATCTATGATTTATTTAGATACGAACCAGCCGAGTTGAAGAACAGGTAAGAAACCTTTCATTGATACCTGTTTCAGTTGAAGATATAAAAGAAATAAGTTATCTTTTTTAACATGGCATCCCTGCTGGGACTATCGGTTCGTATTTTAATAAAATGAGAATTATTATTATAAATATTTGATTGGCAGTGTTATAAAAATAAATGGACACTGGAACTGAAAGTACTGTGAATAATAATAACTCTAAAATGGCCACAGACATTGAACTTCTTAAAAAGAAACGCACTACGTTAAGAGCATCAGTTACTAATTAGTATTAGCCCAGGTAGCAAAAAGATATGATCTAATATCAGAAAGATGCAATATAATACTGCCGTGCTAGAAAACGCAATACTCTTGAATCTTATCTTCTAGGCTGTTGCTTGGCTGACCGACTTTTTAATAAATACAGGCATTTGATTGGTCAATTACATCATCGTTTTCATCGTTATCGCTTAATCGTTTTCTCAGGTTTACTAGAATGGCGTTTTTAGCATTTTTGTTTGGCGCAATTTTAATAACGCGCATGCTCAGTTTGATAATTTATTCACCCCAATCGAAGTACTTCGTAGACAATGAATTATTTACTATTTATCAAAAATGATAAAAAAGAATTATTGATTATTAAAAAATAATTTTATTGCGATAATCAACATTAAGCTGGAAACCTATTATTATTAAGCAATTTAAAAGACTTTTTCGTGCTTTTCCTTCGCATGTAACACAAATTTGATTACTTTAATTTAATCTTCATTAAAATAAATTATTCTTATAACTTTCATGAATATGATTGTATTCTGATACTTAAATTGTTTAATTACTTTGATCTCTGAATTGAATTAAGCATAATAAGGGTGTTTCATTACATTCACAAAATAAAAAAGCTCACACTTTGATTTCTGGGTTGAGTTAATAAGAAGAGCTTTTCGTTCTGTTCAGAAAGATGGTACCCTATCTATTAAGGATAATAACAATGAAAAAATGTTTATCTATAATTTTACTNTCTTATAACTTTCATGAATATGATTGTATTCTGATACTTAAATTAATAATTACTTTGATCTCTGAATTGAATTAAGCATAATAAGGGTGTTTCATTACATCTCATTACATTAAAAAAGCTCACACTTTGATTTCTGGGTTGAGTTAATAAAAGGAGCTTTTCGTTCTGTTCAGAAAGATGGTAACCTATCTATTAAGGAAAATAATAATGAAAAAATGTTGATTTATAATTTTACTCCGATACTTAAATTGCAAATTATTTTATTTTATATACCAATAACCGCAATCTGAAAAACATTTTTGTCTGTTTTTCATAGCGTGTAACGCGAAATTTGATAATTTTAATTTAAATTTAATCTTGATTATAATTAATTATTTTTACAACTTAATCATTTATTAACTTAAATATTTATTAACTTAATTATTTTAACTTAATTTATAATTAATAAATTAAAATAATTAATTAACTTAATTATTTTAACTTAACTTTAATTTATTTATAACTTAATTAATTTTATAAACATAATTATTTTTATAACGTAAATATGGTTTTATTCCGATACTAAAATAGCGAGTTACTTTGATTTTCGGTTAAAAACTACAAAAATTTGAATAACATCTCGTTATAGTCACAAAGAAGTCTCTCAAAGATGCTGAAAAATGATTCATTATAAAAAAAAATTCATTGCGATTACTGAACTTCTAAATAGAATCAAGCCATCTGAAAGATATTTTCGTGGTTTCCCTTCACGTATAATGCAAAATATGATTGTTTTCTCAAATTTTTATTCAGGCAAGGACGAAAAATATTTATACCATTATTAACCACTCCAAAAACCAGAGTAAATGCTTTATTATAAAACTGATACGTCCAGAATTTGGAATTATGATGAACT